TTACAGTACTCTGACAGTAGACCCATATCACCTATTTCAACAACGTCAGATGTTGAGTATTCTGGATTTTATCTTGAGGACTTGTTTGACGACCACAGACCAGATTCACCAGACTCATTTTATTCACGAATTGAAGCTAAGCACCCTGTAAGTACATCCCCACTACTTTCTGCTGAAAGTTCTTGGACATATGGATATATTATGCAGGGTATTAGGATTGAAAAACAATTTCCTTCTGCTTTTGAAGAAACCCTCCCCCAAAAAAAGATCTCAGCTGAATCCATGTCATCAGACTCCAAAACAACTAAGGCATACCTGGCAAGACACAAGCCTGTCTTTAACAATTTAATATCACATTTGTATGATCCAATATATATGGGAAAATGTTGTTTTACACCACAAAAACATTTTCAACCTACTCATTGATTGATTAGAGGACACTTTCTCCAGATTAGTTTGCCCAATTAAACAAGTTCAGTGCCTTCTGACTCACAAATTCTCCTTAACCTCATTATTACATGCATATGTCACTAATCTGTTTTACCAGACCCTAAACCTCGATGCAAATTGCACCTATTCATGTCTTTTAGCAATATCCCATTGCTACACACACTCACTTCTTGACTATTGGCTGCCTGAGCTAAGGCCATCTACCACTACTACTCAAATTCCTGAATCAATAGGAGACTTTCATGAAGTTTTAACCCATCTGCCATGTGGCTAAAATCTCCCAAGTTAAACTGTTACCGCAAATAATAGAGTTATATATAAGCCCATCTCTGGGAAGTTAATGGCAGATATGTGATTCAGTCTATAAAGGAACATATTGATTATATTGATGAGGTTAATTTTTTTGACAATGTGGTCTATGGTCTAACAAGGCTTGCAATTAAAACAAAGTTTAGGAGTTTACAGTTAGCATCAGTCAGAGCCACATTGCCTAGCCACATTTTAATTACTCCAAACAATTACAGGATTCATAACTATCCCACTCTACAGTATTTGATGTTATGGTGACACATTTTCATCCTGAAATGCCGATGCCACCAACAGGAAGGCACAGCAGTACTACAGTACTTGATGTTATAGCAACACATTGACATTTACATCCTGTTGAGACAGGACCTATAGCTCCTTCCTCAAACAAAAAGGACCAGTCTTTTTTTGTCAGGCCTCTACCCTGGACAGCAAATAACCTCAACTAGATCTGGTCAGACCAAATAGCATTAGCCAGTTTTGCACTCAGTTGAGTCACATGCCATCTGTAGAACAGAAATTTTAATTTCATCATGTTGTCTGGCTGGAGGAGGCTTGCCACGAACAAACTCAAGCAGAGCAAGAATCAGTGAAATGAAGACCACTTGTATATGAGCATAAATGTACAGACCCTGAATCACAATTAAAGATGACACACACTCAAGATTTGTTTTCCAAGAACATGAAAAGAAAATCCATGAGTGAGGAAGAAAGCAAAAGTTCATTGGTGCCGGTAAGAAAGCACAAGCTCTTTCTCAGCAGTGAATGCAGTGTTGCTTACCAAAGTAATAAACATGGCAATACATACAGTGTGAATGTAGAACTCGTTCCTCAAGCTTTCACTAATAATGCCAGTGGCTTCACTGTCTTGCTGTGGCATGTTTGCATTAGAAGAAATTATCTTGCATTGAAGCACAACTAATGGAACCTGCAGAGTGACCCTGTCTTAATGAGCTTGTTGTCCTGGTATGGAATGTTAGTAGATAGAGGTAACCAGTGGACTTAATGATGCCATTATAATGCCTAAGGAGATTCCTGCTTTGATTATATCTTACATGGGTGCCATACATTTTCTTTTTTTTGAAGATTTCAATTTTATATAGTTCCAAAACGTTGCACAGCGCTATTTAGATCTTCGCTTAACAGCCTTAAAAGTCTCAACAAGCTGATGTACTTGCCACAGCTAGTGGCATGTACTGGCTGTTCTGTTTGCCTTCCTTTTTGTAAGCCATATGCTCCCACTGTTTTTCTAACAAAAAGATCACAGAAACATACCACTCCATTGGCACCTCTAATGTTTCCTAACATGACTGTTTGAATTTCCCAGTGAAAGCCATGTCCAAAAAAGTTCCATTTCAGTTTATTACAGTTGCATGCCACTACCACCTTTCTCCCATCTCAAATGTCTAGGCAGGTGACAGAAGACCACTGGTTGGTGATTTGATATTAAAAATGTTTAATTCTGTTAGTGAAACAGACAGGAGTAGCATTTGACTATGACCAATTCTATGAACTGGTGGGTTTAGCATTTTCATGGGAAGTGCAGCGCTTCCTGCCCTGCTATAACAGGGCAGTGACCATGTACCTCAAATGGGTGTAAAATGATGCATGTCCACCTTCATGTTACACCAAATCTTGATTTTGGCTCAAGTTCATTTGTGCCCTGTTTTTATTATTGTAAAATTATATTGTTTTCAAATGAATATCTCCAAATATCAAGAATATTTCTTAAATATGTTAATTTTGCAGCATCTTAATCAGTCACACGTAGTATGTAATGTGTTTTAAATTGTATGTGGTCATTAACATCCAACTGCAATGACCTAAACACAAGTGGGCTACAAGTGAATTTCCTTATTTGAGACACTGTATAAAACCAGTCTGTCCTTGACAAATGCATGCTTCATTTGCCTCTTTGTTTCATGACCAACATAAATCACAGGTCATATTTATTCATATTTTTTTCCCATACCATTGTATCATTTCTTGCAGGTATCAACAGCATCTTTCAAGACAAATGTTTCAGAATCTTCGAAACAAAAAAATGTTCCTTTAGGACTGAGTCAGGTGTTTCCAACCGAGACACCATCCGTGGCACATGATCCAAACACACTTTCCACTGAAAAACACGAATTACCAATTCCAGGTACCTTTGGCCTAAGTAAAACACAACCTGAAATCACATTGACCAATTTAAGTTGCTTACCACAGCAAAAAGATGAAAAGATGTCATTCTCCAAACAAAGTGAAAATTGTGGCTTTGCTAAACCAAGCTCTGTGACCCCAGACTCATTCTGTCAAACGGCTCAAGATGGTCTAGATGACCAAATGATCATGTCCTCAAAGTCCACTCCAACGCCACCAGGGTCTGGGTCCCCTCAGCTTGACCAACTGCTGTCAGATCTGGAGGAGATGAAACTTAAGTTTAGACCAGAGACACTTGATCCAGCTCTGTCAGAATCCAGTGATGAAAGCCCTGAAAGTGATCATACTTACAACTTTGAATACCTTTCACCTAAAGATCAATGCCCTACAGAAGATACTGATACCCAGAAAGTTAGCATGTTATGTGTTATACAGCCTGCAGAAGATACTAACCACACAAATTTAGCAGTCACAGAGCCTACACATTTCCAGACATCCATTCAAGATGAACCTGAAAAAGTCCCAGTCACTCCTGATCTAACAAAATCCTCTGAGACAAGTAAACCATCAAGTCTTGTTATTTGTAAAGATAGTCCTGTATCTCCTACCGACTCCCCTTTAATTCCTGAATCTCCTCAAAGATTTTGTGAAGTGATGGAACCATCACTGAACTCAAGTTTTACATTGGACATATATCAGTCCAGCAAATATGATAAAAATTCTACTGAGACATTTTCTGCAGTGACTTCCCCCGAGGAAGCTGCAAAGAGTCAATCTGACAAACCTGAGGAACCTCTGGCTAATCTTTGTGAGGAAGATTCTACAACTGACATTTTACAAAGTCAAGATGAACTTGAATCAGCTATATCATCTAATGACTCAAGGGCTAAGACTGAAGAAATATCAACACAGAGTACCCAAGATCAAATTCCATATTTATGGGAAGCAACTTCTGTTGAGGTCAGTCAGAGTGAAGATTTCTCATCTCAGTCGCTTTCTGATTTGACTCCAGAGACAGTCACATCTGCAAGACATTTTTGCTTTGAGGAACTGATATCGTACCCCTCCCCAGGGAACTTAGAGACATCCTCAGATGAGGATAAGCCAAGGACCAGTGGACCACATTCAGAAGAGTCTCTGACTCCAGTAGACTCTGAGGGTTTTCAACCCTCTTCAATTACACTAAAAGCAGAGATAACTTTATCTAATGGCTCAAGGGCTGAGACTGAAGAAATATCAACACAGAGTACCCAAAATCAAATTCCATATTTATGGGAGGCAACTTCTGTGGAAGTCAGTCAGAGTGAAGATTTCTCTTCTCAGTCTCTTTCTGATTTGACTCCAGAGATAGTTACATCTGCAAGACATTTTTGCTTTGAAGAACTGATACCGTACCCCTCCCCAGGAAACTTAGAGACATCCTCAGATGAGGATAAGCCAAGGACCAGTGGACCGCAATCAGAAGAGTCTCTGACTCCAGTAGACTCTGAGTGTTTTCAGCCAACTTCAATTAAACTTAAAGCAGAGATGACTTCATCAACCTCTGATGAGGAGTACAGCATCCCACCCGGGTATGCAGAGACCCGTTCTATCACAACCATCTACATCCACATGCCTCCAGAATACGCAGAAGTTGTGCATAGTGGTGCAGACAGCCCAACCTTTGAATACTCTGACCCAGACCCTTATTTTGACGCCAAACAAGCTGCATCAGATTTCTCAGAGACTGAACCCGATGAAGCTGGTCCATGTACTAGGTCAATTGGAGATCAGCCCCATGAGCATCTCAGCCATCCTACAGTGCTAGAAAAGGTGAATGAAAGAGTCCTGTTGTCCTCTGGAAGTGAAGATTATGAGGATGCTCCTTCTGTCCATGAGCCTCTTCATAATTTATATGAAGAGAACGAACAATTGTTACACTATTCAGAAGCATCGGATGAAGAATTCACCTTGTGCGAGGCTTCACAACCGCCTCCTGTCTGTGAAATTGGGTCATATGATGATACTGATAAATATCTAACAAGGGTAAGATGAGATTTAGTTAACCACCCTAACCTGCAAGCTTTTCCCACAGCTGAGCTTAACCAAATACTATATTTGCTTCAGAAAGGAATGACTGCTAACCCTCTGGCCACATGGATGGGATCTAAAACCCTTATTTTGTTTTGATATCATATTTAACCTGTCCTGACTCAGCATGTTACTTTGCTACCTGTAACCAGCCGTATCACTCACAGTAATGATATAAACTACATGTTTTTTCACCAGCAATAAGCACATTATTTTTTTAACTAAGTAAAAGCATGGACTTTTGCAAAAAATCTTTATCCAAGTTACAGACTGCCATGTTGTACTTTCCAATGTAAGATATGAAAATGTACTGTAAAATACTCTAAATCAATGGAAAGTGCACCATATCATTCTGCTTATTGCTTGCTTTGCTGCAACCATAGCATTCATATATTTTCATTCATTCAATTTTAATGGGTTTGTGTTGCTTGGTCAGGAAATCACAGCAGAACTCGGATCAATGTCAGAAAGTTCAGATGATGAATTTTTGACCACCAGAATAGTGCGAAGGAGAGTTGTCATTCAGGTATCTAATTTAGCATGACTGATGGCGTTTTAAATAAGCATGGAGGGTGCAACTTTGCAGTGAAACTTTTACCAGGCTAGGCTTCTACTGTGAAGTTAAAATGTTTACTGTCTAACAACCTTTAGTCTCATCAAACTGGGTAAAAAAAGTTGTGTTTGAAGATTAATTTTGGGCACTTGATTTGCATACATCACGGTGGTGTTTTTTGCTGCTGTGAGCACTTCTCTGTTGGTTTATTTGTCAGCCTACTGTAACCTTTTCTCCCTGAGAATGCAAGTTTGTTTCCTGTATCCCAAAGCCTCTATTCTCTTACTGAACCGCTACCTAAACATTTTGTATCCTATTTTTTCTTTAACATTTGACACTAACACCTTTGAAGTGGAGAATTAAACAAGTAAATCTCACACTGAAGTTAGCATTCTGAATATTTTTTGTCTTGTTTTCCTTATAGGCTGATGAAATGCCTGACCTCCCCACTCAGTCAGTGACGGAAGAAAAGTACAAAGATGAAAATGGGCATCTAGTTGTCAAAAAGGTAAAGCAAGATTCAATATGAGCTCTCATACACATATCACATGTTCATATTTAAATGGGTAGCGACAACAGCCAGTAAAACTTTAAATATACGATTTTGCCGCAATACCAAAGGCTTTCTGTTGTACTGTTACCCCATTTCATTCAGAGACAGAAAACATTGGTTTCGGGAATGTTTGCAACAAATCATGTCATTTGGTTTAAATAGATCAACACCTAATAGTTTTTGCTCATGTTGTCTTCCTTAGGTCACCCGTAAAATTATTCGAAAGTGTGTTTCCGTGGACGGTCTGGAGGATGAACAGGTGTCCTTAGAAGGAGCTCCCCAGGGATCCATCAGTATGGCAGAAGGAGATGGATATTCTAAGGTGGTGAAGCGGACTCTTCTGAAGAGTGAGGGAGACTACACAGAGGTGTGTGTGCTGTGTCATAGTCTTCACAATCTCTTTTTTTTACAGAAAAAAAAACATGTATATTGGCTATGGTAATTGATAGTAAATTATTTAACAAACTGATTACATTTTCTTCTGACATAGGTAACATTTGCTGAATGCGAAGGTTTATCAACATCAAGGCAAGAGACAGCTGAAGGTTGTAAGGTCAGTCGCGTAGAAAGGACAACAGTGGTGGAGGGTGAAAGGACAATGACACACCAGGGTGATCCATCTTTGGCTTCTGACCTTCCCTCAGCCCAAGACGACTTCAAACAGGTTTGTTTGTTGTAACCTTGTCATCATTATTCCCTTACAATGACCACTTGTACTATACCTGATACACTGTATGTGATAGGGCCTTTAAATATATTTAAGATAGAAGCATAATACTGTCAATAACTTGTGGCTCAACAACCAATTATTTTACAGGCACATGGAAAGGTACCAGGTCTCCATTTTTTTTAAATCTTTCCAAATTAAGTGAACACTGTTTTCTTCTTTTCATGCCACCAGGCACTAGGTTATATAAGTGGTTTTAGCAGAACAGAGCTCCCTCATGTGGTAGAGAGGGAGACTGTCAAAGAAGATGGAACTGTGGTCAGGAGGTGTGTGAGTGCTGGAGTACACCTGTTTTAGTGTGTGTGTGTGTGTGTGTGTGTCTACTTGTATTTTGTGAGTGACATTTCTTACAATGATAGCTGTGCTGTAGGTTTATTAGTTTTTCTAATATTGACTAATGTTTGCTGTGGCTGTTATCATTAACCACTTAGTCAAGCAGTGTACTGTAAAATGTATTCATAATCAACAGGAAATTAACCTGATGAGATATGTTGTCATTGTGAATGCAGTTCACACTATTTAATGGAGCAGGTTTGCAGATAGCATATCATAGTTTTACATCGGTAACATTCGAGTGTGGTTCAGTTAATGTGTGATTTAGTAAGTCATAGTTTTATTATATCATTTATATTGTTATTTCTAATATTATTTGTTGTGTTTACTGTATATTTTAAATTGTGACCAAGAGCAAGTTGAGAATTGAGAGAGCAAGAGCAAGCACACTGTAAGTGCCAGATAATCTTAAGTATTCCTCATAATTAAGGTGCTTAACAGGAAGCAAAGCAACACAAAGTGTGTTCAATCTAATAGGTGCCTCACTGGTGGCACCTTGCCATCAACAAGGTTTATAAAGGCTGGCAATGACAGATATACAAACATATCTACACAACTCAAAGGAAAAAAGAAGATTATATGCAATTGTCATGAATGTGCTACCACATTGAATCTCAAATTGATCATTAGCCTGTTTAAAGTGCTTAATAACATCATCTTTAGGTTTCTGCAGCTAGAAAGTAGCTATGAAGTAGCTGTGCATGTGATCACAATTGAATGTTGGATTTACAAAGCATGATATCATTTGTGGATGTTTTGTTTCTATACCATAGCATATACTGTACTTACAAATATCCTTCTCAAGTATCTGTTCCATTAATTTAATTTCCACAGAGCTGACCTGTCTTCCTCTGTTTATTTCCACTCCCTCTTTGCTCCCTCTCAAGGGCCCGCATGCGTAAAGGTCGCACCCTCAGACGAACAGTGGTGAAGGGAGCTGGGCAGCGCAAACAGGTCCTTCTAGAGCAAGTGGACAACCCCAGAAAAGGGTCGAAACCACATGATCTACAGCAGCATCTCCGCCAGCTCTTTCACCGCTACTATGAAGAAGAAAAGGAGGACAATGATGAGGATGATGAGGATGAGGAAGAGTAGAAGAATGTAACACTCTCCCCAGCTCCCCCCTGATCCTATGCATTAGCCACATGCAATCCTAGTGTGCACCTCAAAGCTACCACAGTCTTCCCATTTAAGTCGTGGAAGATGACCTTTTGTTCACAATTTGGAGTTTTCTTCCCTGGCTTCTATAACGTATTCATGATTTTCTTTTCATGTTCTGATGTTGTTTTGCCTTTTTGTGACCAAAGAGAGCCTTCTGATGTTTTCCTGATTTATTTTACTTTCCATGTCAGAATTGTCTGTGATATTTTTTGTCTTGATGCTGTGGTAGAGCAACAACAAAAAGAAAACAGGAATACAATTCACATCAACTAACTCACAAACCTCCTGAAGTCAAAGAGAACACTTTTCCTGCAAAATACTGGTACTACTCTCTGAGTAGGTGCTTGGACTGAAAGACAATATATCTCACACTACACTGCCTCTCACAACCAGAGTTTCTCAGATATTCCTTGCTTAAAAACTGTCTCACTCACTGTACTAGCCTCTCCGCTCTTTTGATTCAGGTGGTCAAGATGTCACACAGAGAAAACCAGACCGTATCGACACTGAATTTAACTGCTGCTGCTGTGTTTTGTGTAGGCTATGTGTAATCTGTCTTTGGGAATTATATATTATCTATAATATAGACATTACTGACATCAGTAGCCTAGGAATTAATAATCACTTGTGTGAAGTAGAGCAGGCATGACTAATCAACGTCTGTCATTATGATCCTAGCTTTGACTGCTTTGTAGTTCTATGGATTGCCCTTCTGCCTTTCTTTCCCTTCTGTGTGTGTCTTTCATTCTGTTATTATGTTTGATTCTATTAGTTTTTTTGGAATTTTAAATTGTTGATCTTTACTCATACTGTATGAATGGTGGATGTGAGTGAGGCTGTACTGTAGGTAATGTATGTGTCCATGCATGTGTTGAGTTACATACTGCATTATCAGCTTGTTTGAAGAGGTTATTGTCAAAATTATTTAGTTATTTGAAGATGTTTTATTTTACAGTTTTGTTTTTTTTTAATTTTGAGTTTAATTTACTAGTGAGTATAGAGGACTTATTTAAGCTTTGTTTGAATATCAGTGAGAGGTTTCTATCTATTTATTGAATTTGTCACTGGTGACTAAATCATCACAGCTGTTTTGGAGACACTTCTCTGATATGGCATTTGTGGTAAGGTGATCAGGTGTTTTTGCTTTTATTTCATGTTTTAATCTTTTATTAGTTTGTCTTTTAAACAAGAAAGTGTTGGACCAGGTGTTGGCAGTTGTGTGGTGTGTGTTTGCGAGTGAATGAGTCTGTAAGTGTAGTAAAAGAGTGTGTGCTAGTGTCAGCAAAGAAAAGAAAGATTTATTTTACACAAACCGCATTTGCACTCCTGAATGTCAGGAGGGAACACCTCCATGCTTTTGTGCACAGGATATGAGAGGTACAATATATCTTGTTCACAGAGAGAGTCTCATGTTGGCGGGACAGATGATAAAATACAAGATTACGTTACACACGTAATGAAGCAGGTTGAGAGCTTAAATATAGCATTATTCACAGCTCTGAGCATCGCTACTGTATGTATCTACAACATGTAATGTATTTATTTCACTATCACTGTTTACTTTGTGATTTAGAAAAATGTAAAATGCAAACTAGTGGAAGTTCACTGTGACAGGTATGCTTTTAATTTAAATCAGCATCCCTTTTCTGTGATGATGACAGTTATACACATATACAATGCATATATAAATATCTATAGGGCATGTATTACTGTATCAAAATTCAAAAAGACAAAAAATGGCTGCAGTGTGTCTATGGCTGATAGAGAATAAAAGTCTACAAATGTAGTTTTGTATCTTGTGAATTTGTGCTGTTGTTTTTCACTTGCTAACTCAAACGTACAATAAAATACTATATTTGCTTTAGTACACAGTGTGTATTATAGCAAACCTATAAAAAAAAAAAAGTAAAGACACATAAAATCACAGTGCATGTTTTTCGTCTTTAATCAACTAACTGCTGCTCTGCCATCTAAACACACCAGACGTGGTGCTGCCCCCCAGCTGGGCTCAGAGGTAGATTCCCAGCCGCAGATACTAATGAACATCAGTATTCAATTTGATATAGAAATATAATAGATTTAATAATATAATTGAATAATTATAGTTACATTATGGAGTTTTCGCAATTCTAAAGCCTTAAAAGTGATAATCTATTATAATCCATTTAATTCCAAGGCAGCAGGGTCGACCACTCCATAAGGCCGCACCTCATTTCTTAAGACACTCACATCAGTTCCCTGGGGAGAAATGTCACTTGATATGAACGAGGCAGCAGCCATTTCTAAAGGAGTTTAATCATTAATCTCTTTTGGTTTTGTACCTTACAACTTACCTGCCTTTAAATACATAATGTCTAAATGTTTACACTATTACAAAAAATCCTTATTTTCTATGTATGTAAACCAGATTTGTCCCCAGTTGCCTTATTACCACAGAGGTAAAGAGGGTAAAACCGATCATTTTACTAACCAACTTTAAGTGTTTTAGCTTTTATCTAAGTTTTAGCCAAGACAGCACCTGCACCTATACATTTCTTTTAGACTAATATCACGTCTGTATATCAGTTTATTGGGATAAAGCAAAGAACACAAAGAACTATTTCAAATAATTAACTTCAAGTTATAACACACACACACTCCATCTCCGCACTAAGGTGATAATGATTAACCAGCAACACAAAACAAGGTAAAACTCATTCATTATCACACCTTTTAGCTGATTTATTTATTTCTTAAACATCTTAAGCCATCCATTGCCGTGCTGGCAACGGGTACACACCATATAAGGAGTGGTGCATTGCATTGACATCATACGTTTCGTTTAAAGAAATGTTTATCATATTTTCCCCTTAAAAAAGAAGAGACCAACCAATTGAAAAGAGTAAACAGTAAGGATGACGAAGACACTGGCATTGTCCTGCAGTGAGAAGGAGACCACTGGCTGGTCGAAGCACTGATCGTCAAGGAAGACATCCCAACATGTATTACAATCCAATTCTCATTTGACTCCTTCACTGCTGTCTTACCATCCTCTTGTCTGACTGCAACGTTCTTCAATCCAATGCTTTTATGACGCTTCCAGATTTATAAGCCCAACCGTCAGATTAACACATAACCTGACTAAAGGTAAAGACTATAGTGCCTTTGCTCCATCTTCATCATCTCCACTTTCTCTGTGCAATTGGCAGAGTAACACACTGGAAATGACAAGAATAAAATGACAACAGAAACCCTACATACAGTCATACAATACAAGTACAAACATTATGAAAAATGAGCTTGTTTTCTTCTCATTTTTATACAAAATGTAAGGGGTGCTTCAGCAACCGGGAGTTTACTTTTCCTCCACTTAGATATGAGGTTTTGATATTTACGCTTGATGTTAACCATAACTGTGGACATTAGAAACATTTGGGACAGGACTGATGCACAACATTAACAAACGCAAACAAACAAGTCAGTGATTCACAAATCAAACAGAAGATATTATAGTTTCATATGATCTTACTTACAATATCCCCCCCCCCCATGCACTACACAATAGTCTTGGATTTTCATATATTACATATATGCTACATTCTCTTATTTCTTATTTCACTGATATAAAGGCAAACATATCATCAATGCAAAGTGTAAGCTGCTCTGCTTTTCTTTACATTTTAAATTAGTATTATAGGTTGAAATCGGACAATTCAAACAGTATGACTTAGCTCATAGCAAACATAAATGTAGCTCATAAACTGGATTTTACGTAAACTCTTAATTCCTCTGATAGCAAGAATAGCAATTTCAATGTTTGTTTTTGTTTTTGTTATCAACAATCACAATGTATATACATCACCAGAACTAAAGCAAGCTGAATTTTAACATTCTGATCTCCCAAATGTTTTTGTATTGCACACACATAAATACACATAAAAATACAGAACTAATTTTTCGGAGAGGTTACAGTAGTAGATTTTTAAACATCTCTATTTTATATTTAAAATGCATACCAAAACATCTTAAAAAACAAACAAAAAAATGTTAATCAATATGCTCGTTTCATAATGTCCAAATACTGTGTGCAGCCACCCGGTGGTGGGTTTGAATGATGTCCATTAATAAAATGCCATAACAGTAAAATGTATTAATACTTGTGTCCTGTGCGATGTCATGTCCTTATAGAAGGGTCAAAGGTCAGAGAGCAGTCATAGGTTGGCTAGTTGACTGCCCTGCTAGATTTGCTGATGGGATTTTTTTTTTTTCTTTTTTTTGACCACATGTTGATATTCCATTAACTGCAAAAACAAGAGAGAGAACATAAATGTGAATTAACAGGGTAATGAAAATGAAGTAATCTAAAGAAATTATCAGACCAGTGGAAACTCTTTCACTGTACGAGCAGGAATAACATAGATACAATTAATGAAACAATACCAATGGGCATTCTGGCTTACTGGCATTACTTACTGGGAATATCCCTTACACACCTATGATCCACCCATACAGGTGTTTTCAGTTATTTTCCTAATTAGACCTCCTCTCATGAATGTGCGGGTGTGTACGGACTGTGCTTGATTAACATCTCGTTTACTCGCCTGTCACTTTTGTTGCACCTGGTGGGGCAACTTCAACAACACCTTCATGATTCATAGTTAGTCATGTTCACGTTTGGTGCCCTCAGGTAGTTCTCAACGTTTACCCAGGTAGAGGTCAAACAACTAGAATGAGTGAAAATATCAAGTAAACAGAAAAGAGCTGTCATTAACACTGATGCTTTTCCTGCTCTAAAATATAGAAATATATAAAATATATATACTTTTTCTTGTATTACTTGTTTTCTATTTCTGCCTGCTTTCTTAATTTATTTTATTTGTTTTTAGTATAACTTCTTACTATCGTTAGACCTGTATTTTATAGTCATTTTATCATTGCATTTTAATTTTTAAATCTACCTTATTTAATTCATCTTAACCCTTTACAGGTTCTTGTTTTTAAAAAAAGTCAGCTGGAAATACTAAAAGGTCAGCTGGAGAGTTTTCAGCTATGTCTTACTGTTAGTGCTAGTATTAGCTTAAGCTACCAAACTAAGAATGATCAAAATTCTAGCTGACAAAATCTAGCCATCTAGAAATGAGAAGCCTTTAGAAATTACTGCAAATTTTGTGAAAGATGAAATCGGTTAGCTTTAAATAGACTCCATGTATCATGCAAGGATGGAAATCTTATCAGGTGTAGAAACAGTACCAAGGGGGCGGGGCTTAGTGACTGGAAAATTCCCACATGGTTAGTCTACTCAAAAGAGTAACTTAACACCAGGCTGAACAACAATATTTCACTGCACTCTCTAGTTTGTCTGTTGCACCTTTAATGGATGTGATTGGGTGTGCTCAGTTGCACCCAACAGTGATGTCATAGTGTACTGACCACACCCTAGAGCACACCTACATCACTGCAGCAAAGTGGAAAATAAACCAGTAGAGGTCACAAAAAAACAAGATCTTCAGCTCCTGTTTAGTATAGCTACTGTGTGATTCTTACTGGGAGGGGATGCTGGGCGAGCCGGAGCGGTGGAAGTGGATGTTCTGCCACTTGCCGTCGCGACGATGCCACACGCGTGTCTCCTCAGACTGCATGGTGCGGGGCATGCCGCCAGCATCCATGTACTGGGTCAGTCGAATATAGGCGATGCAGGCTGCATTTTCCCCAATTAGGTGCACATGTGGGTTCAAGAGGATGGTGTGCACCGGCTTATTGCCTTTGGAAAGGGCTGGAAGGGAGACAAAATGGATGATTAAAGGGAGAAAAAGTCACTTAGTATCACATATTAAAGGAATATAGATATTGTCCTATCACTTCAAACACCTGGTTGAGTGAGGATGGTTTGGGAAATTCTAATACAGCTGCTTGACTGTTCAAAAGCAAAACACTGACCCTACCTTAAAAGGAACGCTAACTGACGTGAAAACAAGAGGAAGTAAAAGTCTCCATATGTTGAGGTTGGATAGTGGACAAGCACTGGCTTGCCAAGTGATTGAGGTTTCTAGGACATATCTGGTTTATCTGAACTATTTTTACCCAGACTGAGGACATTTGGCCATTTATAGCAGTCATTATTCATTAGTGATTTTATGCTCCAAGGTTAGTTCATAATCACCGCCATGACCTTGTGGTGTACCAGCATGAACTGTAAACTGATAGGACTAAATATTGATATAGAAAAAAAAAATTAATATAAAGGATATCATACCATTTAGCCCATACCCACTAATGCATTATAGCACTATTTTCTATTTCTTATTTTTAAAATACTGATATCAATAAAAAAATGTAATTCCTACCAATTAACTTAAAGCAATGAAACACATTTGTGTGCAGTATTTGGGTATTTTCTCTCTCTCTGTACATAATGGCTCCTTATCGCCTGACCACTGGGCTAACTGCACCTCTGCAAACCTGCTTCCCATCAATTGATTACGCTTATGACCTGCCTCTGCAGCTGTTCCTGATTGGCTGATTTTTCTGTATGCATATATAGTTCTTACAAGGAGGAACTTGCTATTGTGTGTTACTGCATATGTTGATGATGTTCTGCCCAAACATTACATTGTGTCACAAAATCTCACTTAAAACGTCATTTTAGTGCACATGCTAGCTATTGTATTTCAGTGACATGCTACATATATATGTGTTTAGTTCTCGCCCCTGAAAATCAAACCAAAAGCTTTTCCTACCATGCTTTCAGAGCAAGCAACTCACACATTACATCATTCAGCAAATTGTTTATTAGTTATCTCCAAAACAGCTGCAAAAACTTAAACAACAACTGAACAATGCAGTTGATCCTTCCAAGGATCCTTATTTTCAGTGGAAAGTTTGGGTGCAGAGCCAGCTGGCTACTTGCACCTTTTGGAGCAACCACAGACCCACAGCTACAGCATATTTCAACTGCTCCGGACAACAGTAGCACGAGCAAGCATTTCACATTGTGATAAATTCCCTCTCAGTTTGACTACTGCTGGTAGTGTACTTTAATTAGCTATTTTATTTATCTATTTTGTAAAATGTGACCGTTTCAGGTCACATACAACTGCCCTGATGCTGCTGCTAACATTTGCTTTTTGCCAGTTTCATGATTAATGTTTTTGAACTCACCATTCTCAAAGTAAAAGCGATGGAAGTCATGTCCTTCCACCAGGTTGCCCAGGGCCTCAGGCTCAAAGGAAGTTAGGCCAGGATCACAAATCTTCCTGTTACACCAAAAAAGAATATAGAATCAGCAAATGAAGTCATTATAGCTAGTTAGATGTTATACTGTGCAAATGCAGAGAAAGAGAAACTTACGCATAGGACTCAAAGTCTCCATTGTTGATAGACTCAATCAACTGCTCAGTTACTTTGATAATTTCCTGTTTGCGAGCTACAACACAAGATCACAGAACATCATCAACCACACAAACTGATGTAAAAAAAATGCTAGTTGTTACTGTGTTTCAGGCAAATGTCAGTCTGAGTGCAGATAAAGGAAATCTGACATCAAATCAGCTTTAAATAGATTCTAGTCTACGAATTAGCAGGATTTCAAACTTATTAGAAATGGAAGGCGCTCATAAGTATTTCACAAAATTGTTATTTAATTTCTGAGTAACAAAACAACAAGAAAGCCTCCCATGACTAATAGTGATATCAGGCAGGAAAATGCAGGATGACACGATTCTTTTCACCCAACAAAGCTCAAAATGAACAAAGACAAACCAATGCTCAGATGCAAGTATTTGCTAAAAAAGCAGTTTCGACTAAGTAATATTGACAGTTACCTTTATTGTTATTGGTGCAGGCTGGGGGATATTAAAAAAATTACTTAATTTGTGAAACAAAAAGACATGTTAAATAGTAAAGAAATATATAAATCAGTACTTCAGCTCCATTGCCTTCATAACCATAAGCTAAAACACAGTGTGTGTACATCAGTGTGTATGTGAGTCAGCTTTCTACTGTGTGAGTCAGTGTTTGGGTAAGTCAAACAGAGGGCAACTAGAGAAGTGAGAACAGCATCTGTATCTAAAAGACACAAATATATCTTTGATTCAAATACAAAAGATTAAATCAGACGGAAGGAGCAGATATTTAGGGGTCAAAATCAAAAAGGTTTTATATCACTGGAGAGGGAATAGTGCAGTGTAAGGACCAATGATCCTAAACTATAGACTATCAAACACTCACTTATCTAAGCCAAGGGAGTGAGTTCAACATCAGGAGAGCACACCATTTGAGACACAGAACACATTCTTCCAGTTATGACTGGGTAACAATAGGGGGCACAAAACAGGGCATCTCTCCCACTGTGGAGGGACTTACTCTGGACTGAGGAGGTGGGAGTCTGCCTTGAATCAGACATCTGTGAGGAACGGCTCTTAGAGCTCAAGATACCGCTCACTAAGCTGCCCAGACGAAGGGCTGTCAGATATTACATGGATGGGTTTGTGTGATTAGGTGTCAAGTGTGCATGTGTTGGGTGGGGTATGTAACAAATAAGGGTTGTTTAAAGCATATATATATATATATATATATATATACACACATATATATGTATGGGCAAATGCAGGATGGAGGAAAACATTAATATATTAAAAAAAAACACAAAGAATGGAAGAAAAAAGAAAGGAGAAGCATTTAGTAATACCGTAAACATTAAAAAGGTATGCAAAAAAATAGAAAAAGCAGTGTTAACAAATTTTCTGTATTGGCATAAGATGGGAGAAACTTGAGGATGCGAGGGAGGATAGGACAGAAAAAGAACAGGGCGGACTGCATTTTGCAAGAGGAGCTGACAGCCAAAGGGGCGGTTGCAGTAGATAACTTGCTGTGCATTTCAAACTGTGTTGCAAAATAGAATGAAGAAAAACATACAAAGGAGTGATCAGTCTGATTGGAAAGGGTGAGGGCCGATAGTTGTAACATCACACTGTAGGTGAGGACTGTAAGTAGGTACATCAGACCAAAACACAAGTTGCCCTACCTTTAACATCCTCATCCTCTATGGTGGTGTTGGCACTCTCAATGGACTCCTGACAAAAAATGACAACCTACAGATTTTGTATATGTAATATGTGTATCGATAATGATAGTACAATTGATCACATGTCACAAGTTACAGTTTCAAATGCTCTTGTAAACTCAGATTTTCTGTATTTTGGATGCTTTTTTTTTGCATTTAAATTGTATTGCAATATAGCTGACAGGGAACAAGAGCAGGGACATGCAACAAAGGTCCCTGACTGGGCTTAAATCAGGGATGTTGAGATTACATGGTTAGGGTCTTAACCCCTCACCCACCAGAATGCTCAGATGAACATAATTTATTAACAGTTGATTATATAACAACAGTACAGTACAAGATAAGGGCATGCATAAGGAAAAGGTAGTACAAACAGCTTTGATATCAATAAATGCAACGAACAATGAAAATGGTGATTTTGTTCTAATACCTTATTTCCATCCACGGGGTTGTGGATCACAGTTGTCTGTGGTTCCTAAAGAGACAACAAACGACAGAGAACTTGAGGGAAGAAATAGCTAAAGAAGGCTAGAAAAGGTAGGATGATGGCACAGAAACTGCTAAAGGAAATGTGTTTGTGTGTATTTTCAGAATTGAAATGGAATTATCACATTTTGATCTGTCTGTCTGTCTGTCTGTCTGTCTGTCTACATACATACACTTACCTATAAATCTATCTATCACAATGTATCTGACATGAAATAACAAAAAATAAACCGTTCTGCAATTGCCTGTGCCCACTTTTCTTTTTATTCAAGCTTTTATCTCCCTTCCTGCATGGCACTGTCGCTCAATGTCTTTTTCTGTGTCTGCTTTTCTCTCATCAGCCCTCAACAGTGTCCTGCCTAAGTAATCAGATGTCTGGGCTTTTGTGCAATCGATCCTGATGACCAGCTCAGTCCTTCTAATCACTCACCCTGATTACAGTAGATTATAACATCAGCAGCCTACATTTGTGTGTGTGTTGTGTGTGTGTGTGTGTGTGTGTGATGATGGAGAGAGAAAGGAAGATAGAGAGAAAGAGAAGAAAGAAAGAGATGCCATGTGCCTGTGTTCATGCGTAATCATCTTGACAGCAAATGGAGGGACAGAAAGCCTTGACATCATGCAGAGCAGCAGTCATGTGGCCTGACGTAGACAGCCAGTCAGCAGACACCATGCGCAAGCCAATGAATGACGGCCAAATCACTTGGGAATGTAGCATCATAATGAGCCCAAGGAGACGCCATTCTCACACTCCAACAAAGCACAGACAAACTCAATAACACATACTTGCTACTTGTCAATACTTCATATTATTAAGTGCAAAATGATAGCAGTACATTTCATGACATGGAAGTAGCACATGCATGGTGTAGGTGTGTAAAGAGGAAAGCGAGAGGAAGAGTTCTTGTAGAGGACAAAGGAGCAAGGAGAGGGGGGACTGAGGTAGAGGTTGCCCCCCTAACGACATATTTAAAACTACACTACTCAAAGCCCAATCCAAACGTGTGTAAAGGTTTATTGTTTCAGCCCAACATCAACAATATACCGGTCCAGCAAATCCAAACTAGCCAAGCCATGTATGCCCCATGCATGCTCTGCTAATTCAGATGAATGAATGAACACATAAATCTGAATTCCAAATAGTTTATTAAATAGTTTAATGTGTATATGCTGGAGCTGGGACATGCTGTGCAGCCACAAAAGCTTTTACACACTATTTCATTCAGGGATAGCCTAAGGTTGAGCTCATCCATTATATTTTTTTGGTATTTTAACACCCAGTTAAAAAAAATTATCAAGCAAGGCTGAGATTTTAAAAAGAAATCATCTGACCCCATGTGAAAGGGTGCACCTGTACCTCCTTCACAGCGGGGTTTGAGGTGGGGAGGTATAAAGGTTTTGTGGATGAAGGTGCAGGTGTAGGTGAGGTTTTGTGTGTATACCAGCGCAGGGGCAGGGCCAGTGTCTTTAGGACTGGTCACTGTGTTGGCTTTGTTGTTGACCTGCAGGGGGCAGTGTAGAAGGGACATGACACACACTTTTCAAACACACTCACATACCCACACTCACTCTGGCAACGGTCCATTCCAAAGAGATCATCCCGACTCATGTGTCCCAACGATCTGATGTTACTGACTGTTACCAACCAAGACCTCTTAACAAAATGTGTATATTCGATAAAGCACACTTAAGCAGAGAGGTAGATGTATTGAGGAAAGCTTTAACTTAATCAAAAACAGAAGCACAAGATGTCAGTTAAACTGGGCTTTGCCAAAGGTAGGGAAAAATCTTAAAAGTAGTTGGAGGGAAAAAACCTAATTTGGTAACACATTTTGATCGAATTTTAAACTGCTAGATTTAGTAAAATACATAAGAGTCTGTTAGAAACAACATAGACACAGTGGTTTAAATGTATTATGAACAAATACTTATTATATGAATGTACTATAGTGGTAATGGTCTAACCATCTATTGAAGGACACAAATAAAAAATGAACAATCTAAATACAATAGCATCGACATGACTATAATTTTCACTGAATTAATAATATAATCAGTTGTCGAAATTGCACAGGGTAATGGATTTAATCTGCCTTCAACAATTCAGTAGGAAAGGTTTCCTCTGTATTTTGTACATTTAGTATACTGTTTCCATATTCACAAACCCTACTATATACACTTCTCACTACAGACATGTGCCTTCGCTACTTACTTATTTTGGACGGGGTCACATGACTGAGGGATAAACTCCCTGGAATGGATCTCGTAATGTGACATACTGTAGAACTCAGAAAGACCCAAACACAGTGACACTGATTCAAACAATGTATGCAGAGGTCCAATCTCAAATCAACACTCAATTATATTTAAATCAGGCACATAGTATTAGTCAGTCACAAAATTCTCAACATTGTATGTGCATGCAGATGTGCACGCACAAACATGTTCATTTCAGATTGGGCCCCACACACAGAGAATACTAGGATTAAGTACACCAGGGGCTCTACAGCAAAGACTAAGTGACTATGGAAAATATGAAACATGGTTTATTCAGGAATTATAGGTGAGAAGAGACACCAAAGAGACTTTTTTTTTTAAAGACGCTAAAACTAGATACATTAGTCACATATAATGAATGTGGTCTGCTGTGCCACAAAAACAACTGTGAGATCAAGCTAAGAAAATAACAACTGTTGCCCACTGCTTGGAGTGACTGTCCCTGAATGATGATGATGTTAAGTGCACAGTGCATAATAGTTATCCAAAAGGCTCCTCAGACACTGAACGTTCCAACAGACTAATGCAAGTAACAAAGCATTTTCTTCACTGTGCAAAGCAGCTCACCTTAACGCCGTCTTGCTTCTTGTTGAGCAAACTCTTGGCTGCTGCAGAAGGACAGAAAGAAACACTTCAGCATGAGAGTTCACAAACAGAGTCCTGAGCCTGAGGCTACACTAACATGCAGCAAGCATATCAGTCAACTGTGCTTATCTTCAAACTCCAGGTGCAAAATCCAACTGCAAAATCCATAATGCAATGCAACAGGTGCTTAGAATGGTATCATCATTTATGCAAGGTTGTTCTCCTACTACATACTAATACACATGTGAAGGGCTGAAGGATGGGTGGTGTATTTAGGAGGGGATGAAAAGGATAATCTATCCATCTCCAACAGACTTACACAGCATTCTTAAATTGACATTTGCACACATACACGTGCACTTAACCACTAGCACCCACACACTCGTCTCTCATTGTATTTCTCATGGCATAAAAATAATCCAAACACTAGATAGATTGCATTTCAAAATGCATGCTGCATCCTTGTCTGATCTAATTTCATTCTGATCTCATATTGGCACTCTTGCAAGCGTGAGGTTCAATATTGTTCTTATGAATACCAAACTCTTCATCTTCATGCATATGTGATTGGCTATTAGAAGAGCAAGAATGCCTAAACATCATCAACTCCACATATTTCCCTGTCATTTCAAAAATCTTACCTCAAATGGAAACCACAATCCAAACAAAAGAAGGAAAGAAATTTGAAAAAGGAAGAGAATGATGAATAATAAGAGACACAAATGCACTAATGCATTTAACTGTAGAATGATGAGAGAAGGCAGGCTAGTAAGAGCCTAAGAAAGTAGAGACAGGTCAAAGGAAATGCATGCAAAAGGGTATGGTATAGCGCAAAATAGAGATAGTGAAAGAGCAACAGCTAGAGAGATAAAGAGAGATGGCTGTTTACCAGTGGCACCTTTGTGCCAAGATCATCTTTGTTCTATAGAGAAACAGATCGAAGGCATTCAAAAATAGGTGAAAAAGCCTCTATTCAGGTTTCTTTTTAGATTGACTGCACATTTTTACCTACTTTGCAATGCCTCTGATCTTTTTTCCTCATGACTAGAAGATATGCTAAAGGCTAAAAAGCATTTCCAGCCTTCTGGTTTTTTTTTTTGGTTTTTTTTTCAAAATGAATGTTTTGAGTTCATAAGATATGTTTTAGGAAACCAGGCTGAGAGAGACATACCTGAGAAGTTTCTTGTGACCAGCAAAGTGGTCAATATGGCTCCCTGCAGTGATAGAAAAGAAGGAAAGAAGGAGGCAATGATCATGAAAGGAAGGAAGGAAGAGACAGAAATAGGTAGATTGATTATAAGGTTACTGCAAGAAAGGGAAGCACAGCAAAAGGGCAACTTGAAGGTTTTAGAGAGCAAGTCAACATTTCTAAGTTACCCTGAGAAGTCTTCAGTGAGGTAGAGAGAGAGATGGGGAGAGAAAAATGGCTGGATGGATTGTTCTACATAAATAGAAAGATTGCCAGACATCTCACCTTGAGTTTCCTCCTGGCGTTGAATTTCTTCAGGCACTCCACAGTCTCCTGCCTGTGCATCATGGAAGCTACAGTGGACCGTTGCTGCAGGAAAGATGAGAGGATTTGAGGATTAGGAAAGAACGGAAACAATGGAGGGGAGGAATATAAGCATTTGTGTGTGTGTGTGTGTGTGGGCAATGAAACTGTGGAGAGTTGTGTGTGTTTGTGCAAGTTGGATCTTTTGGATCTGATGGTATGACAGGTAGTTACCAATAGTAATAAATAATAGTTTATTATTATCAGTGTGTGGGTTTTTATTTGTGTGTCTGAATCTTTATATCTGTTAGTGTGTGTGTGCCACATACGCAGATCCAGGGGTGTTTGAGAGCCTCTGCGGCAGTGATGCGTTTACTGGGGTTGATGGTCAGCATCTTGTTGATCAAATCTTTGGCCTCAGGAGTTACAGTGTCCCACTCTGGAGACGGGAACTGTCAAAAAACAAGAGTGTGTCAAAAGCTCATTACACAGACAAACCTATTAGTGACATAATATAAATCAGATATTGTTTCTGTAGCAAGGCAAAAAAGAGGAGGAACAGAAAATATAAAAAGAATATGAAAAAAAAAATAGTAAAACAATCATCTGAGAAAAGGCAGAACCAAAAATAGATTAAATATGTGTAGTCAAAATTGGTTTGTTTTTTTCTGTCATGTGATGGGGGTCAATGTATACAGACGTCAATGGGAAAAAATATAATATTCAGTCAGTAATGATACGTCCAAACTCAAAATTCACAGGAAACAAGCTATGCCTAAACTATAGGCATGACGGCCAACAATATGGGAAGACGCCATACATGACAAACTCATGGATATAGGCTGTAAGGCTGTTTGCTGACTTTTACAATGGTGAAATTACCAGGACAACAAATCTTACATCGTCTGTTAACAGAGCCACGTCAACATATTTTAGGATTGGCTATATGAGTTCCATTTGAATTCATTCAAACTAATTACATGCTAGTTTTTATTCATTCAAACTTGAGTTTTATTGAACTTTTTGTGACAGCCCTACTTTGTACTGTATGTGTGTGAATGCTTACATCATAGGCCCCAGCCTTGATTTGTTGGTAAAGACGGTGCTGGTCCTCATCCCAGAAGGGAGGGTAGCCCACCAGCAGGATGTATAAAATGACACCTGAAAGGAAGTGACATGGTAAGTTGAGCATGTAAACAGAAAATACCAATATACTGTAGTACTGTATACTGACATAATCAATATTATTCCCTAATAAAAATCACTAATTGAACACTGCACAGAACACTTGAAACAACATGAAGCTGCAGTTTTGGTGCAGAACCATATATAAAAGCCATAGAATGAGGCTTTAGCTCCAGGGTGAAGTTCATTCGAACAGTTTCAGTGAGAGATTTGAATGTTATTTACCACAAGCCCACATGTCCACTGGTTTCCCATATGGGTCTTTCCTCAGAACCTCCGGAGACAAGTATCCCGGAGTGCCAGCGAAACCTGGAGGAGTGATATGGAGGGAGGGAGTAGATGTGGAATGGTAGGCAGGAGTGGGCAGTTCAGTGACTAGGCTGTTTCCCAACTAAATGAATGAGTGATTGATTGATCGACTGACTGGTTGGTTGCTTGATTGACCAACTGATTCAGGTTGAAAAATGGATGGATGAATACTCACCAAACCATGCCTGCTGGTCCCCCTGCACCTCGATAGCCAGCCCAAAGTCAGCCAACTTGACCGCCGCCCCCTTCAGCTTACTGGCCAATAGAAGGTTCTCAGGCTGGGGGGGGCGGAGTCAAACAGGTTAGAGGTGAGAGGTCACACGCTCTGGGAACAAGCCGCCCACAGACACAGATCTAAAATCAGATTAGCCAAACCAAATCCTAATCCAAACTATTAGGGGTCAACAATGCTAAACTGCTCTTAAATCAGTGTCTGAGGCAACTCTCTTTCTGCCACACAAATGACAGAGCAACATAAATGTGCACGGGACCAAATCTCTATGTGACAACGGACATTTTTCTCGCTAGAGTTGTGGACTCATCCCCTTAGCCTCATGGATTGGAAGCAGACATGATGTGCTCGTCTAAAGCAACACCAATCCACTGTTAAAATCCATGAGTGGGAACAAAGTGCACACTGCAGGGAGAAGGGTACAGAAGGGAGGTGCAGTGTAACGGGACGTGGGTGTAAAAACAAGTGACTCAGCCACATATGGGTATCGACAAACACACACTGCGCGCTAACACAGTTTAGCACAATCATAAATATATGCCAGCCCCCAGCACACGTGCACACACACAAACGTACACACATATACTCATACACTCATCCACACACATGGACACAGGTGCAGAAAGGTCTTTGCTAACCTAAGGCCAGTTAGACAGTGTGCTCTACTGAATAATACATTTCCTAACATTTAGAGACTCTAAACACAGACAGCCTGTGAGCAGTCAGTTTATAGCAGACATATGACTCAACGAGACACTAACTGACAACTGGACGCATCTCCATAATCATTTACATAATTATGAATACATTGTCCTGATTATGAAGTATCTGAAAACTTAAAATCATTTCATCTGCCCTAATAAAGTCGACAGATTAGAAATCTCACAAACCACCACAATTAAATTAGATTTTTTTTTCTCAGTACAGTACAGTTTTATGTTTCACAATCCATTTGAACATATTCAAGCGAGCTTTCTTGCATCCTCCTTTTTCCTCAACATAATACCGCTCTTGGGAGGACTACCATTAGAATATTCATGACCTTGGAAAATCTTTCACATCTCAACATAGTTTTTACATAATTATGCAAATGATGATCATTCCCGAGGTTCTGGCTTGTGATTGCTCCTATTTCTGTCACCATAGTGGTACACTCAGATTACTACACAATCCCACACACACAGACACACATACAAATGCAAGCATGCTCTCTGTAGCATAAGGGGTAATATTAGAGGAGGGTGCTTATTCTTGACATTGGCAGGACAGATATTAATATTGACTAAACAACATTGTGATGTAACAATATAGGAGGGTAGGTTGTAGAGCCAGGCCTTAAGTCTCTGCAGTTTGTTAGGTTTGAATCTTGGAAGCAGAATTGCAGCCAATTTCAAAGAGTTCAAAGTCAAATCAGCTTTATTAATGGCCCAAAGTTTTTAGGGCCTCTACAAAAAACAATTGAATAATGTGTCAAATAAAAAAACTTTGCAATGTTATTTTGCCTCTCAAATAAGAAAATAATTGTTAAACAGACTGTAAATAAAAAGCAAAGTGTGTGGATGTAAGGTCTTTCTCAACGTCGCAGCTGCAGCTGTGGCGGTCATACAAACCTTCAGATCCCGGTGGACGATCCCATTTACATGGCAGTGATGGACACTCTCGAGGATCTGCTGTATGCAGTGGCTGAGGGCAAGAGAGTAACGATTGTGATGAACAAATGGATGAAGAGACAGAAAAGTGAGGAAGAAAAAGGAAAAGAAGAAAGGCAGAGAAGAGAAGATGAGGTGAATTAATTAAGGGGAAAAGTAGAAGAAACAATCTTATAGCATTGTATCATATGTCCCTCTCATTAGACTTCTTATGCGTGACGCTGTTTCCGTGATGGATGACATTTAGTCACATGAAGGTAAGTCATTTTTCACATGATTTATTATTTAACTGTATAGACAAACGAAAGCTATATAGTGGCTATGACAAGAAAATACAGGCACACACACACTATCTCCCCTTTTCTCTCTCTCTCTCTCTCTCTCTGGGGAGGCAGTATTACAACATAAAGCTGGCAGTGTAAGGTAGACTCTGTATGATTAATACCGCCGGCTGTATGTCGTTAATCACCTTTATAAATAACTCTATGAGATGCCTCAGAGACAAGGCAGCTGTATCACACTTCTGAGATGACCATACGTGAAACACACAAATATACACACCAGTAACAGAGATGTACAATGGCTGCTGTGCTCAGCAGTGTGTGTTACCTGGCATCAGCCTCACTGTAGTACTCCCTGGCTACGATGTCCTCAAACAGCTCTCCTCCTGTTACCCTGCAGAGGGACAGAGAAAATGTATGTGCATTTTACTGTTTCTGTCTCTCTGTGTCTAAAACACAATAAATCATTGATTTTTTTAACTGTGCTCATTCAGGTTTTGAACCAGCTCAAAATAAGTTAAAACTTAGCCTTGTTATTATTAGCTAAATGGAGAATTATGCACCACTTAATTGAAACTGATTGCACCACACAAGCTAGTTTTCATTGCAGAGATTAGTTCTTACATTTCCACCGACATTCAGTTCAATATGCTTTATTGGAGTAAGTGCAATAAAGACAATATTACCAAAGCATTAAGAAATTAGATTAAAAAGAAAAAGAAAAGTTATAATTCAGTAATTTAATATTTACTTCAGTAACCTAATAACTAAGTAACTGCCAGATGTAACTGGTGTATCGCTAACTCATATACATATGTATGTTTTCATTAGTGTATGATGGCCTGAAAATAAGAATTGCTTGATGCCACTAAATCCTACACACTAGTCCTTTAAATTACAAAACATATAGTCCGACTAAATACCAGCCTAAGTAGGTTAGCTTAATGGATACAGCCTTAATACTGTAGGTGAACTCTGAAATATACATATTATTGTCATGTACATAAATATAAATAAACAAAGAAATACTTACATTTACAAAGGACTAAAACTTTTATTTTTGTCAGTTATGTTACAGCTTTTGATGCTACAGGGACTCCCTCTTTACATAGGTGGTTGCTTTTGATTGGACACATTTGCAACAGATTTACACATTACTGAAGTCTTCACTAGCTACGATATTCTTTAGGTTTTATAGTGCAGTAATCACTAGTTGTAGGTTACCTAAAAACTTTTTTACAAAAGCTGCTGCTACCCAATCTATCTTGATAGGAACTAGGAGTATTTAAAAACAACTTGTTTGGGTGGTCATAACTGACAGAGAATGTGTGTAAGAGTGTCTGATACTCACAGATCAAACACCAGATAGTGGAAACCCTCTTCTGATATGCTGTCATGGAGTCGTACTGGAGAGGAGATTTAACAAAAACACACACACAAACACAGGACAGTAGAGGAAAAGAGACAGAGGAAAAAGCCAAATGAAACAGAAAGCAGTCAACACCTCAATACTAACTGTCAATACTCATTATTCACATTTTCCTTTGTGCTGCTGTGCCTCAGAGTTAGGTTGTTAGCTGTCAAGTGTTGTTCTCGAACTTTATAAGAGCATAGTTATGTTGGATGGCAGCTGTGGTGCAGAACTGATTTAAGGAATCTGAAATAATAATAAAAGGAAAAGAAAGAACATGAACAAATGAGTGTGAAAAGAACAAAAGAGGAGAGACAGGGTCTATCAGATGTATAATGAGGAGGAAAGAGTGTAAAGGGTCAGTGGTTTAGTAAGAGGGCGTAGGGCTCCCATGTGGCTGGGAGAGCACACAGATATATCATCATTAGATACCTGTGTATACACACCACACACTTGGTTTCTCTCTCTCTCTCCCTCATAACTGTGTCTAGAAGATGAATAGCCACAGCAGAATTCACCAGAGACCTGAACAAAATATGTGTGTTTTTGTTTGTATCAGCGTGTGTTCTCGTGTGTGCGTATTTTAAGATCGGGGACACGCTACTCACCGATGTTGGGGTGCTTCAGTAAACGACAAATCCTCGCCTCTCTCTCCAGCTTTTGATGATCTAAAAGAAAAATAGAGGAGACACAAACACAGAGAGAAACAGAGACAGGTTATTTTTAATGCTCTTCATTATTCCCTGCTATGATTGGCTTTCTGGATCATCTAATATGAAGTTGGCTGCGAGTTAGTTTTGACTTAGTGGAGGACACAGCATCGATGTCATAATCAGTGTGTATGTGTGTGTTGGCTTCGTGTCAACCTGGCTCTTTTCCTTATCAGAACTGAAATGCTTGACAAAAATAATGCGACCTGATATGTTCTTGGTTATGTGCCACAAACAGGCAGGCAACAGTGAACAACAAACAGAGTGAGCCGCCTCAGTGGATTCATATTGACCTCTGGTGTCGGGCTTAATATCAGCGGCTGCAATGGGCTCGCAGGTTCCTTTTGCTGCCCTAAAGACAAAATAAATTTGCAAGGACACAAATTAAATTTCATTTCACATCTCCGAAAGCCAATGTTAAACATAAAGATCATTATGTTTTTTGTGCTCTTAACGTTTCTTTGTTCACTTACAGCAGACTGGGATTAGGTGATGTTATAATACATCAAGCCCAGTGCCAGGATAAAGTGACTAAGGGAACCACTAAAATTGCAAGTTGACAAATTAATTGATTTAAACATGTAACCCTAGCCCCAGAAAGACTAAAACAGCATTGTCCATTGTTCTGAAACAACAGCTAAGCGATAGCCACATGTATCTCTGCCAATAAGTTTGTTGTTTTTTTAATTTTTTTAAACAGATTGGGGGGGGGGGAAATACACAACTGTGGGATTGGCAGTGAGCATTGTGGACCTATTTTAACAGTGGACGCTTATTATACTCTATATTGCAAAAATCAAAGTGGATTCCAAAACAGTTTCATGAATTGAATACAACACTGACATTAGACAGACAACAGGTATTAGGGTTGTACTCCTACAACAAGTCACTCTCAAATCTCCCGGTCAGAAGAAACCAAAGTCCAGTTACTCTGATTCGGAAACACTGAGTCAAAGCAGCAGTCGTTATAATGAGCGATGCAGTACGGTGTTGAGGCGACCCACTTCAGCTTTGCCTCGAGACACAGAGCGCAAGTGCCAGAGAGAGAGAGAGAGAGAGGAAGAGACGGAGAGAGAGAGAGAGAGAGAAGAGAAGATGGTTCTACTTTTTTTTTTCAAATAAAATAGGACGTCTATTTTTCACTCTCATCTGTGTCTCCTTCCTCTGCTCTTCATGATGCTATGGAAACTGTGGACTCAGAGGCCAACAAAGAACACCAGAAAGCTTGTTCCCATTATAAGTACAGGTAATTGTTTGCTTGTGTCGACGTAGTGCTTCTATAAGAAGCGACAGGCAGACACATTGACAAACTTGGGGCTGCAGTATACTTTTAACGAAATGGAACTTGGCGTGCCCTCAAATGCTCGGTAAAAATACCAGTACAGTACATTCACTGTGACTGAAAGACTGTTCATCAGTTGCAGTGAAAGAGATGAAGCCAGAACAAAATCCCAGCAGTGACATGCAAAACAAATACAGGATGAGCTGTGGCTGCACTACAGTTAAAAGCTAAAAATACAAAAATCTGCCCATATACTGTGAGTGACAAGTACAAAAAAACAGAAAAGGAAATGTTCACTTGCTAAACCATGGATGAAGAGGTAGATGTGTGTCTGTCAGCCTAATGATGTTTTCATTAAAAATCATCCCTATTCCTCTATTGCTTTTTCAATTTAATGGATTGCGGTTACTTGGATAAACTCCCACGAAATTATTAACTTCCTTAAAGTAATTTCTTATTCCTTTCGGGCCATTTGGGTGCGGCAGTGACACAAGCTTAGACATGTAATGACACAATGCCATCTACATAAGTTGGAGAGGTGACAAAGGTCTTAATAAACAGCAGATAA